GGGGGGGGGGAAACCAAACACCTTAGAGTTTGGACATGACATTTGGCAAAATGCTCCTGAGGCAGAAGAGGCTGAGCGTGTGAAATGCCTTACCTTGGTGCCGTTTCGCACCAGCACGCTGCGTTATGCCATGATCCAGAGCTGGGCGTAGGTTTGCCCGTGACATGTTTAAACGCGGTTGTTAATGTTGCCAAGTGACAGCATTGAGCTGGGAACGGTGTGCTGGAGTCTTGCAGGTTGTGCTTCCCACCGCTTTGCTTCTGGCTCACAGAGATGCAGGATCAACCTGCAGCAGGTGGAACTGGTGCAGTGTAAAAGTGACTGAATGTGCTCCTTCCTGTTTGTTTAGGCCTTTGAGCTGGCAACGGGAGACTATCTCTTCGAGCCTCATTCTGGAGAAGATTACTCACGGGATGAAGGTGTGTCTTTCCTTTTGAAAGCCTTAAGTCTTTCCCTTTTAAAATGTGACATGATAGACAGTGGCTGCTTCTTCAGAATGAACCTTCTCTTCAGTGTTACCGGTGCAAAAGGCTCCGTGCAGAAAGGTGGTTTTACCCAAATCAGGCACCGACTCTGCAGTAAAACACCACATCCATGTTCTGGGGTTTCCTATTCCTCTTATCACTGGATTCTCTTATCTCCCCTCTCAAACTGAGCATGCCTTGCACTGCCCTTACCTTTTTTCCCCCTTGCCTTTGCTCAGTGTCACCTGCTTTCAGGTGGATCTCAAGGTAATTTTTAAGGGAGATAATGCCTTTGTCCTTATATCCCAGAGAAGGAAACTGGGGCACAGAGATGCCATGTGTGGATGTGTCTCACTGTCTTTTTCTCTTTGTAAAAATGCAGATCACATTGCATTGATCATAGAACTTCTGGGGAAAATACCTCGCAAGCTCATTTTGGCAGGAAAATATTCCAAGGAGTTTTTCACCAAGAAAGGTAAAAGGAAACAAAGCAAATGTCACTTATCCCCTCACCCCCTGCTCCAGATACACAGGAGTGCCAGCTGGAAATACCAATTAACGGTAGATGCTCGCGAAGATGCCTCTTGAAGCCTTTTTTTTGTTTATGAAAGGTTTTCTCGGTAAAACTGCAGCTAAATATAAGCTGCTCTTGTCTAACCACTGAAGTATCCTACCTCCCACTCCTTGACATCGTGGTGGAGATCAAATGCAGAAAAACAGTACTGTAGATATTTCTTCAGCCTTGATTTGGCTTTATGGAGCCGATCTCTGTCAGCTCGAGGTGTTGACTCACCTTTGAAGTCCTCCCTAGACAGCTGTGTTCCTTTTCACCCGTGCCAGCCGCCTAAACAGCGCCTTGCCTCCTGAGCCGCGTTGCTCAGGACACGTTACAGCGTTACCATAAACCCCCGAGTACCCCGGGAAACACATTCAGCCTCAGGAAGTTGGGTTTGACCTAGTTTAGTGCTTTTATGAAACAACCCCTGTTGTGTTAGCGGTAGGGCTGCACGTAAAGCAGGTTTTCCGAACTCAGCCGCGTGGCGTTCGTCTCCTGTCAGCTGGCGTAACTGGTGATTTAGTGAATTTAAACAATATTTGCTGATATTGGATCAGAAATAGCAGAAGGGGAAAAAAAGAAGCCTTCAAGGAAGTACATTTCTAGAACAGGCTTCCAAAGCAGATAAAGGAGGCTTAGTGTAGCTTATTTATACTGTCCCTGTGCTGGGCACTGGGGAGGCCGCACCTCGAATCCTGGGGGCAGTTTTGGGCCCCTCACAGCAAGGAGGACACTGAGGGGCTGGAGCGTGTCCGGAGAAGGGTCTGGAGCACAATTCCTGTGCAGAGCGGCTGAGGGAGCTGGGGGGTTCAGTCTGGAGAGAGACCTGATCGCTCTCTGCAAGTCCCTGAAAGGACAGAGTGGGAGGGTCAGTCTCTGCTCTCAGATGGTGGGACAAGGGGAACTGGCCTCAAACTGTGCCAGGGGAGGTTTAGGTTGGATATTAGGGAAAATGTCTTCCTGGAAAGGGCTGCCAGGCGTTGGAAGGGGCTGCCCAGGGAGGGCTTTAAGGGATTTAAGAGCCGTGTGGACGACGTGCTCAGGGGTTAGTGGTCGTCTGAGCAGTGATGGGTTAATGGTTGGACTTGATCTTAAAGGTCTTTTTCCATCCTAAAAATTCCATGATTTCTTCCTTCAGCATGCCCTACCGTTATCCTCCCCGTGCCCAGCTATACAGAGCAGTGTCTGAATTCAGCCTGTCTGGTTCAGCTGTTGTCCTCAGCTGCTGCCTTCCCATGCCTCGCACTTCACCTCTCTCTCTTGGTTTTCAGGTGATCTGAAGCACATCACCAAACTCAAGCCTTGGGGCCTTTTTGAAGTCTTGGTGGAAAAATACGAGTGGTCCCAAGAGGAGGCAGCCGCATTCACAGACTTCTTATTACCCATGCTGGAGCTGATCCCAGAGAAACGAGCTACAGCAGCAGAGTGTCTCAGGCACCCCTGGCTTAACTCGTAGAGCCTCGACCCAAGGCCGCAGCACTACACTCTGGTTTACAGCGTAGCATACATGCACCCACCTGCCCCTTCCCACAGCCTGTTTTGTTTTGTTTTTTTTCTCCTTGTCCATTTTCAGTGTGAAGTTCTTCCTTCAAGGCTTCCAAGATTTGAGATAAATCTAACCTGTTCTGCTGAGTTTGCTTGTGTGATTCAGTGGGGGCTCCCCCTCAGCCAGCGGGCATCGTCTGGGGTTTGCCTCCGTCGGGCTTCGCCAAAGACTCAGTGACTAGAACGGGAAGTTTTTTCCCCGAGTCTCCTCGCTGTCACGCACCGTGTGTCACGGACGGGAGCTGGCCTCTGCTCAGATACGCTCCCGGCGCAAAATTCAGCCCCCCTTGGTGAGGGGGGGCGTGAAGATCCCAACGCAGCGTCCTCTCCCTGACTCAGGAGTCGATTTCCCGCTGTTGATGGGGTAGCTAGCAGCGGGGTGAGAAGTAACGTGGCACCGAGGTGCTGTTAGTTCCCTGTAGAGCTCCAAATCCTCCATCACTTTCTGGGTGTCTTGTGTCCTTTGCTTTCCAGTCACATAACTTTTCTGTAGTCCTAGCTGCTTAAATCTTTTAAAAAGAGCTATTTAAACCTAGGTTTTAGTATCCTTTACTTCTTCCTCCAAAGTGCCCAGCCCTTTTTCTCGTTCCCTGTGCCCAGATAGTCAGAATAGCTTCTGAACTCAGCGACGTTTTCTACTTGAATGCCTGTGCCTGCGACTGAAGGGTGACGGGCGGAAGCTGGCGCTGACTCAACGCACAACCTCCAGCGCGCCGGCGGCTGCGCCCTCGGGCTGCAGAGGGGTAGCCTTGTGGCAGGCAACTCTTCTGACGTTGTAGGGAGCTGTACGTTTGGTTTGTGGTTTTTCTCCCTTACTGGCACTTTGTTTTGCCTTGCTTGAGGCAGTTGCTGTATCCGTGAGAGATGGGCTTTCACTGAGGCTGTCTGCTCTGGCTCTTCGTTTCTTACCATTCGCTTTTTTCCCAGGAAAAGGGTGGCAGCCTCACTCACAGTCACGCTACAGCCCTTGACTCTCAAAAGCAACACTTGAAGGCCCAGTGGAAAGATTTCTTGCTTCAGGTGCTGGCCTTCAGAAATAACTTCCCGGGATGGGACTGCCTTTTATTTTTCTGGGCCGTTAGCACAAGGAGAGCTGGCAGAAGTGGAAGGGAACTGACGTTTTCCCACGTAGATCCTGGATTAGAAGCTGAGTTACCCCAAGGAAGAATACTCTGGGGGGTTTCTAAAGAAACTGCTCAGAGGGGGGTTGGATATAATGAGTAAATGGGTTAATTTTAATTAAAAGTTACATCACTGTAGCATTTGATAGTTTTATGGTGACTTCTAGACTTGCCCCATCCTGTTGCAGATTCAGTGCACCCTACTCTGCTCTAAAGCAAGATTGGGCAGCGTTGAGACCTCAGAGGCACTTCCTTACCCTGGACCAAACAGGCCTTTGGATCCGTGGTGGCTCTCGGAGGATAGGAGCCGCCGCAGGAGCACGCTGGAGGCCGCGCGGATGCTCTCCGAGACGCTTACGTTGCCAAAGGTGCCGAGACCACTGTTGTGTGTCACTTCTGTGTGTGTGTTTGGCGATCCCGGTTCGTAAGGTTCGTTCGTTCATAAACTTTCGTGTCATTTAATCCACTTGGAAAGAGTTTTTCCGGTCCAGTGCCTGGTAGGGCTTATTAACACAAATCATGCTGCATGTTCTTTTAGGGGTAGGTCAGGTTCTCTATGCATATAATCTAAAATTAAAGGAAGGTTAACGTACCAAAAGAGTTTTAAACTGCTGATTTGACTTTTTTTTTCCCTCCTTTCATCTGGAGTTTTCCAGCCACGTGTCGCTTCCCTAGCTTAGGGAAGCACCGCAGGCAGGACCGGGTTCCATATCGCTGTGACGATACAGCGGCAGGGCAGCCAACCCCCTCCTCCTGAAAGCTCACCCGCTCCCACAAGAACTTTTCCTAGAAGGGGGCCGCACGCTTGGCTCCCGGAGCTCCGTCCCGTCCCTCTGCCCCCTGACGGGAGGAGGAGGTGGCGGGCGAGGCGAGAGCCGGCTTGGGAGCGGAAGCCCTGCAGGAGCAGCCGTCGGGATTCAGTCTTGTACCGTGTGCTCGTTCACTTGGCGTTTGTTAAATTCCCAAATTGCCGTAAAGTGCTCACACTAAAGGATTTGTACTTGCTGTGTCAGCCTAAAACCTGAAGGAAAATACATTTTTATTCTTTCTACTTGGGTGCTTGGTCTTCTTTTTCCTTTGTGAAAGCCCGACAATAAACAGATTACTTACTACCTGAGCCCTACTCCGATGTTCCCTCTGTAGGTCCGTTCTCTCCCAGCTCGTGGCCCCTTGATCGAGTTTTCTTCGCTGGCGAGCGCTTAGTTTCCATTTCCAGAACGAGCCGTGGGGCAGGCGAAGATTCTGTTGCTGGAGGTGAGGAGAAACGGTGGCAAAATGGGGATTGATGGGGTTCTGCCGGCGCAGGGAGTCGGGGCTGACTGGCACCATCTGCCGCGCTCCGCGGGTATTGTTACAGAACTCCTGCAGCCAGGGCTTGCTTTGGGGGTTTTTTCCCGCAGAAACAAGCCTGTTTTAAAAGTTGTTTGGTTGCTGTTGCCCGGAGGAAGCAGATTCATGGCTCTGCAAGATTTGGCTGTGTATTTTTCAAGTACAGGGGCAACCTGGGCCGCAGCGGGGGCCTTCCCCTGCCCCAGGGCGACCGCCACAAAATCCAAAATACTACCTTTTCTTTTTAATTCAGAAGTCTTTTCCTGAAAAGAAAGTGTACAAACCCCGAGAAGCAGCAAATCGCCATCCCTCCCCTTTTCCCCAGGTTTTGCTGATGCACTCAAACCCCTGTGTCCAGGTTGGGCTCTTCCCATCAAATAAAGGCCACGGGAGCAGCCCCCTGGGCGAATGTAGAAAATCCATGGGAGTTGGTTGAGTTTAAAGCTCCTGGAAAAGTCCTTTTAAAGAAAAGGGCTGGGTCTTTCGAAGCTGCTGGAAGAAGAGTTTTGGGTGTTCATGGGAAAGAGAAAGAACAGGTCGGCTGTTGCCAGATGAGGCGCGACTTCAAATTTGAAGCTTTTTGGTGTTTGTTTTGGTCACTGGACATGGATTTATCTTTGGTCTCGGGAGGCAAAGCGCAGGCTCCCTCCCCTTTACCGCAGATCAA